ACCAAACATCTTACATATAAGCATATGGAATGGAAGTCTCATTAACAAACAATTTTTGTTATTGTAGACATGCTATGGCCCTTAAATTGATCTTCCATGGAATTTTCAGGTCATGAGTATGTTTGCAACTGCTGAACATGAAAAGGAAAGACTCCAGTATTTTGTGTCACCTGAAGGAAGAGATGATCTATACCAATACAATCAGAGGGAACGAAGGACTGTTCTGGAGGTGACGTAAAATCTGTTGATGAAGTGCTTTGTTTCCTCCTTTAGGTTTGTTTTTAATAATTTAGTTCATATATAAAAATACAGGTTTTGGAAGATTTCCCCTCCGTTCAAATGCCATTGGAATGGTTGGTACAGTTGGTTCCTCCTTTAAAAACGAGGGCTTTCTCCATCTCTTCATCCCCTTCTGCGCACCCGAATCAAGTTCACTTAACAGTGAATGTGGTGTCATGGACAACACCTTTCAAAAGAAGTCGAGCAGGTCTCTGCTCAAATTGGCTAGCCAAGCTTGATCCTGAACAACGTATGTCATATACTGCACATATAAAGCATGTTATTAACAAAGCAAAATACGAATTACCCTTTCATGTCCTTGATTTTTGTTCTTATGTGATAAACAGGCGTTTATGTTCCAGTGTGGTTTCAAAAAGGTTCCCTTCCTCCCCCACCACCATCACTTCCTCTCATTCTCATTGGACCTGGAACTGGCTGTGCACCTTTCCGTGGATTTGTGGAAGAAAGAGCCATACAAAGTTTGACTGGTTCAACTGCTCCAGTGATGTTCTTCTTTGGATGCAGAAACGAGGACAATGATTTTTTATACAGAGAGTTTTGGATATCTCATTCACAAAATGGTGGGGTGCTTTCAGAAGCAAAGGGTGGTGGCTTTTATGTTGCCTTCTCAAGAGACCAGTCACAGAAGGTTTATGTGCAGCATAAGATACAGGAACATGGCCAGAGGGTGTGGAATTTGCTGAGGGAGGGGGCCGCTGTGTATGTTGCAGGCTCTTCTACAAAAATGCCAGCAGATGTATTATTAGCCTTTGAGGAGATTATTTCAAAAGAAAGTGGGCTTCCACAGGAGTCAGCAGTGAGATGGCTTAGAGCTCTGGAAAAGGCCGAAAGATACCATGTTGAAGCGTGGAGTTGAGCATTGCTGAAATTGTGACTTTGAAATCTCCTGGTGAGAACTAGAGATCAAATGTTTCATGGAACTTCAGGCGTGACTTGGATTACATGTGATGCTTGAGCAGGAGTAGATTGGATGGTGGAGATAGCATCTGTACAAGGAGTAAGAGATCATAGGCAGCTGGTTTTAAGTTACTAACATTCCCAGGCATTGCGTGTCAGATCTCAATCTTTTGTCTATTTTTCTTCTCTATTCAATTTTTGTGATTGTGGGTTGAAAAGAATTCAATTAATCTGAGTGATGGGCTATTTTATCACCCAATAAATATTTGTATTTGTAAAAGACTTGGAAGGAATAAAAGAAAGAATAAAAAAGTGATTTTTTTAAAAAGTAAACTCTTGGCCTCTCACTTCTTCCTTCCTCCTTCCCATCTTACCTGGATGAAATGCTAGGAATTGATGTTTGTTTTTCTTTTTCCATTGTCATTGGCAATTTCTACTTCTACATCAAAATTTTCAATAAAAAAAGATAGTTTCACATACTCCTGTGAATTTACCTCTCAGGTTTGATTGTGGGAAACCACCTCCACGGTTCACATCCTTTTGACTAATGTGTGTTTTTACAAAACAAAATTTTGAGTCAATCTTTAAGTGATGTTACTATCTTTCACCAACCAGTGTTGCCAATAACAATGTCTTTTGAAGATCCTCTAAAATGCTTCAGTGAGTTTTACCATAAACTTTTTTCCCAGTCTCCTTTGAATGTGAAGTGTTTATTATTGGTTATCTTCCTTGAGACAAATTGAATCTTCAGAGTCTTGTGACCTCATTCAACTCCGTAAATCACCACTGAAAATTACAAATTGATTAAGTTTTGACGAAATTAAGAGCTTCCAAATAGACCTTAAAAGTCAAGTCATTATCTGAAAGCCCAAGATAATAAGAGCGAGTGCAACTTATCCCACATCGCTCATTTGATATCAAACACTACCCTCTATAAACCTAACACGAGAGGCTCATACCGCCGAGCTTTGTAACACAAGCTTGTAACCCGAGTGGGGGCTTTGAGGTGTTGGAACATTGGCCAAGAATTAGCGGGTCGGGTTCGAGCTGGCTATCTACTGGCCTGCCCATTCCAAGCTAGGAGTTGAACCCTGTGGCTTGAGCGAAGGCTCTGGGTCACTGGTTTCCTAGAGAGAAGGGAACCGCGTAAGGCTGGCTTTACAGAGCAACGACTACCTCCCGCTCTTGGCAGTGGAAGGATTACAGGTCGGTGTCACTCGGATCCACCATGGTCCGCTAGACTGACCCAATAGAACCAAAACCTTTTTGGCTTTTTAACTCTTGTTTTGATCAACTGCCTAAATAGACACTCAAGTTGTTCTTCCTGATCTTTGAGATTGTCGAGCTGGTTGTCTGCATTTTTGTGATCAGACTTGCTCATCCTCTTCTTCAATCAATCAGTGAGAGAGGTAACATTACATTATTTGAATTGGATCTGTATGTTCCCTTGGCAATGTTTCTTCCCACCGCAGCATTCCAATTCATAATTTAGCTCATAATTAACATATTGGACAGCTTTCTTCTATAAACTAATATGCTTAAGCCTAATCCATAAACTCAAGATAAACCTCTTGGGCACTCATTTATCCCTTCCTACTTCCCATCTTACTTGGACGAAAGGCTAGGAATTGAGGTTTGTTTTTCCGTTGTTATTGGTAGTTTCTACTTCTACATCAAGATTTCAATAAATCAAAAAGATGGGTTGAGTAAGCAATCACCACGTCTTTTATTTTTACAACCGATTTGCAGATTCGGTGGTCTCACTCAAGTTCGAACTCTCATGACACCTGACAGTGTACGGGAAAACCCCCTCCCCTTTCCTAACTTCGGTGAAAACACAAAAACCACCACGTTTTGTTATATTTTGGGCCGAGTTTGGATTGGGTTCCTTAGCTTAGCCCAGCTAATTTTATATTGGGCCTGGGTTTACCGAGCTAGGCTAGCCCCAGAACCAGAAACAAACAAGGTGAGTTTTATCCTCCCTCACAATCTCACATGAATAGGTGTCTTTCTCTGAGTCTCACTGAAGAGGGAAGAAGATAGATAAGAACCCAAGAAGAAGAAGATGTTATCTATGGGTTTGGGGATCGAGTGTCAGGCAAACTTGAATGCCTCCGTCTTGAGGCAGAAGTTGCCTCAGCAAAAGCACAAGCTTTTATTGGTTAACAATAATCAGAGAGCATTGAATTTCAAGCCAAGGACCTCTACCTTCTCTGTCTCTCACTCGCTGCCGGAGTTGAAGCTCAGACTGACCCAAACCACAAGAAACGTCAAGCTCTCCGCCGCCGCTGAGTCTCTAGTTGCTGAAGAAACGGCCGCAGCTGATGACGACTTAACCACCGAAACGCCTCTGGAAAAAGAGGTCTGTTTCATCCCTCGCACTCTCTTTCTGGTTTTCTTTTTTCTTCTGATAAATTGATTATGTCATTGAAAATTTGATATATATGTTCTCCTGCGTTCTGTTTGGTTGCTGGGAAAATGTAGGGATAGTCTAGAAAGTTGAAAACTGATACAAACTGTAGCAATGTTGAGGCTGGCTGACGCTAATTCGTAATTGGGTTTGTCGAAGTCATGTGCTGAGTGGAATGGATTTTTGTTCTTTCTTTTTTCTTAACTTTTTCGTTTGTTCAGAATAAGACTGTGTGCTGTAAAATTTTGAATTCATCTTACGCTGTTATTATACATGAAATTATATTTTAGTCACAACACAAGTTTTCTCATTGCTGTGTATGAAAGAACTCTATTTGGTTATTAATCCTTATATTTGCTTCTGATATAAGAGTGAATATCTAATCCTACATATTGATTTCTATCTAATCCTACATATTGATTTCCCCTCATTTTTCCAGTTACCAAACGAAGGTATTAGTTTGGCAAAGCAATGCTCTTGTAGTTAACTTGTATCTTTATTTTGGATATTATAGAAGCTTGGAGTAGTTGTGAAGCCAATTGAGAAACCAAGGCTTGTATTGAAGTTCATTTGGATGGAAAAGAACATCGGCATCGCCCTCGACCAAATGATACCGGGTCACGGCTCCATCCCTCTCAGCCCCTATTATTTCTGGCCGAGGAAAGATGCCTGGGAGGAGCTCAAGGTTTTGCTCGAGAGCAAGCCTTGGATATCTCAAAAGCAGATGATTATTCTTCTCAATCAGGCTACTGATATCATCAATTTGTGGCAGCAGAGTGGTGGCAATTTGGCGTAAGCTTTTAAGGTAGAAATCTTTTTGAGTTTTAAGGTGCTGTGTGCTATTAATAGCTTGAGTCCCCATTTAGCAATGCCCTTTGTGTAACCTGCTGAATAGAGCTCTTTTGACTACTTGTGTATCAAATTCGTTAAATTTGAATGAAATATGGGTTCTATTTTCTCTTCAGATGATATCAGTTTAATCACATTTTGTTGCACTCGAGCATTTTTTTTCGTCTTTGTAATTGAATTATGTTGTTCAGTAGTTTAATATTCATCCATTGCCAGCCAAGCTAGGGTTCTCTTAAGCAACAGATCCTTCTGGCAAAGTGGATTAGGTGTCTTTCCAATCCCTGATATCTTTGTTATCGTTGAGTTATCAGAATATAACTCAGCGACCATGTGTTCACCTTGAACTCTAGCAGCTTGAGCAGCAGCACTTGAGTCATTGAAGGCAGAGTTCTTCATTCAGTGAAAGTTACTAACTATTTAGAATATTTAAACATGAAGGCGAAAATTTGAACATTTGAAGTACATCAATATAAAATCAAAATCATCCACTTTTCTTTTCTGAAAAGGTAAAAAAATCTGTATATAATATAAGTAACCACCAATATTTGAAGCAGATAATTTATGCCATCCAAAACATAAAAGGGAGGGGATATGACACCGTCTGCTGAGAGATACAAGACAAATAGCTGGAATAAGAAGAGTATAAGAAACCCTACTAAACTTAACCCACATGGCAAAGAGTTCACACAGAAGAAAAGATGGATCAAAGATAACCCATTTGTCATATCATTCCTCAAACTCATGCATGTGATCCAAAAGATAGTTGGCCGCCAGCTCCTCATTCTTGTTGCATGCAAAGTATACCTCCAACACAAGGGCCCGATCGAAACCCATAGCTTCAAGCTACAGCAAAAGTTTTTGCATTTGTCAAAAACCAGAGCACCAAAAACAAGTGGAACAAATGCACTTACAAGTAGAGAGGAATACTACTTACACGTTCGATGGCCTCTCGCTCCTCAGGGGTGACGGTCACAGCCTGTGGCACTGCTGCACCCAACTGCTCCAATAGGTTCCTGAACAGATAGTGTTTCAATAACTTAGCAACTTGTGTATCCAATTATCCACAAAGAAATCAACAAGTAAAGCAGATTTATCTAACCCTTCACCGCCTTCAACAGGCTCATTTATCAAGCGTAAGAAGTCAGCTTGATGAGCTTGAATGAGCTGCATTAGATGTGGATTTTGTTTCCCTAACTCTTGAAGCATAGGCTGCACCAAGATAATATGCCAAGAGTTGTCAAATTATAATTAGTAATGAAAAAGACTGGCCAAAATGGGAGCAAAAAAAATCAGGAAACAAATAATACCTGGAGAATTTGAGGGTTTGCTTGCACCATAGCTCGCAAAGCTTGGAACTGAAATATGAGTTGGCAACTCAGATACCTTTCCACAAAAATAAGCATTAAACTGATTCAAAGATTAAAAGATGACATATGTACCTGTGGACTGTTGCGCAGGAAATCCAAATTGCCTGCACCAGCATTTGCACCCATATTGGGAAGGCCCTGATTCAACAAATAAAATTAATCACTTGTCCCAATAAATTATAACCAGGTTTATAGATTACTAAAGTATCTACCTGTGGAAACAGGTCTAGTGGATTTGCATTCGGACCGGCAGTAGGCGCTACTGGTTGTGGAGCCTGGGCTGGAGGATTTGCTGCCGGAGGATTTGCTGCTTGTTCACCAGCAGGAACTTGGGCTGCTGGTGGGACTTCAGCTTGTTCAGGAATGCCCTGACATGTATATCAATTCTTGTGTCAATCTGATAGAAACACCTAAATATGCTTGCTACTATATATGCAGATACAACATACTATAACCAAAACAAGTAATTGATGATGAGAGTAAAGACCAAAATAACAGTCTACATTTTGCAATTTTGCAATTTTCTTCAAGGAGATAACAGTTACGAAAATTTAGAACACACAACCCAAACAGGTTAACATCAGAGCATAAGCAAGCAACCAAGATCTTCATTTCACTTTGGATGTTATTTTCAACACCAGCCAATTTTATTGCTCTATATAGAGCTGAGTGGGGAAAGGATCATAACCCAAAACCATTGAGTAACATCATTTACAAAAGTGATTATCACAAAGTACACGGTATTAATCAACTGAATACCTAATTGTCAACAATTCTGAGATAAACTGAGACAAAAAGTATATTGCATACTGCTAAATGACTTGTTAGGTAGAAAAACAACAAAACATTACCTTTACCTCCTAATCAATTAAAATTTCAAGATCAATTCACAAATTCCTTTTCTCATTGAGTACTTACAGAATATAAATACTCAACAGCCCTTTCAGGGTTGTTGAAAGCAGCACGTAAAGCACGGACAACTGTATCACGATCCCAACTTCCTCCGCCCATATCTAGAATCTGCTGAACGGTAGCCTCTAAATTAGTTCCTGCAACAAGATTTGATGCAGCTTGGCCATACACATCTGATCTTGAACTGCCCAATAATAAAGCCAGAATAAAAAAAATTAAGAAAAGGTCCATTTTACGGAAGAAAAAAAAATTTACTTCAAATCGTCAACTAGTTTATACTATAAGAAAAATTCAAAAGCTAAGCACATGGCCTTATACAGTCAAAGTATAAAATTCATAAATAGAAACAAAAATAAGTACTCACGAATCAGTGGGAGCTGCAACAGCAGGAGTCTCAATGACAGGCTGTGACCTGGACAGTTAACCAACACCAAAAATTGTAATTAGTATATAAACTACTTATAAAAGAACAAACTTCAGGTTGAATAGTGAACAACTAAAACAGCCTTCACGAGTTTAAACAAGTTCAATTCTACATAATCCAACATACTTCTTAAATAGAGGCTATAAATGAAGACTAACTACACTTACAAAAGGGCCATTTAATGCCAAAAATACATACGTTAACAGTTACAAGTCTTCAGTAAAAACCATTACAGATGAATGCTTCAAAAGAAAATCATTAAATCAAAGGCTGCAAGTGTGAGGCAACACTCACTCTGCCACAGCTCGAACAGGATTTGGAGGTGCTACTGGTGGTGCTGTCGAGGTAGGAGCACTAGCAGGTTGAGCCTACAAAATCATAGCCTATATAAGATGGACTTACAAAAAGAAAACATCATATTGTCAGCTAGTCAAACCTAGGACTCTATAAAATAAAATATTATTGGTTATTATCAGTTATCTTTGCATTGTATATCTCATAATGAGGTTTTCAGCATGTATGAGCGACTACCAGTGAACATTAATATACCCACTATTCACACGTTTTTCTTTTTTCTTTTGATAGATTTCCATTTAAGAATTTATTAAGATAAGGATGCATTCTCCACCATTGTGAACTATAAAACATGTGGTACTATCTGAGTCCAATAAAAAAATATATGCAATATTCAAAGGTCACTAAAACCAATTAAATTAGCAAACATTCCTAACCAAACAGCTATCATTGTCCGCATAAGTCAGTGCAATCAAGAGCATCAAAAGCGCAAAAGTCTATTTTTGGGCACATAGAGGACTTCATAAGTACAATTCTCCAAACAAGAATATCCATTAGATCATTCTGCCCACATTCACACAAACCTCTTCTTAGACAAACAGATGGATATGTTTCCAAAGTTGGTCTATTATACAGCTGATGTTAAGAGATCCAGTGTAATACAAAGATTACCAGTTTCACATCTAATATCAATGTGAAAAAAGACATTCCAATACCGTGATACTAAATACAGCAACCGAGCTGAATTTACCTGACTTGTGGCTGCACCTTTTGTACTGGAGGCTCCGCTTGGTGATGCCTTATTCTACAATTGATAAATGAGACCATACTTAAGATTACAGTGATAAGACTAAGAATCCCAACAGATTAATCAAGCCAAAGAACAAAAACGTAATCATGCTTTAATATTCTCTTTACGATTGTCATGCCCACTTTGAAAATCTTAATTTGCACAGTGATAAATTGGAAATCATATTTAGGGTTACAGTGATAAAATGGAAAACGTGAGCAAGTTTGCACAGTGGACTCTACTTCTGCCAATTACAAATCCTGTTACACAGAAATTTTCTTACTTATCACCACAGTTAGAAATAAATGCAAACTCACCTTGGTTAACATTATCACAATAAAACTATTTTCAGCAACTTGATTTTCTTCTAGAGTTGTGGTGTCCTTAAGAACTTTCCCCTGATGAATAAGCATCTGTTGTGAGGCAGGGTACACATCTGCACCCTGTACGGTCTCTATAATTTTCTTGACATCAGCAACCTGGGAGAAAGGAATAACAAAATTAATTTCTGCACTGAACTGAAAATAATAAAAAGAATAAGAAAAAGTAGTTGAGGAACCAAAAGTAAGTGCACTAGTGGCAGTGCTCATGAAGTGGGCTAAGTAACGAAAAAATCACTTGGAATTAATCAGTTTGATTGTTTTTCATCTCCACGCCTCAGATGATTTCACTATAGACCATGAATTGGGTTCAATGTGAGTGGTATAAAATCTTAAGCATTGAGTCCAAATCAACTAAAAATTTGAACGAACATAGAAGCGCATCCCTAGTCCACAGATCGAAGATGGAAAATTTTAAACCAATGTACATGCTTCAATAAAACACTAACGCTAAAGCTAGAGAATTTGCACAACCAAACAATAAATTCACAAAGACTACACTAAATTCACAAAGACTACACTAAATTCTGCGATTCCGCAAACAAAGACAGTGAACAATAATAAAAAAATCCGAACTCCGACAATAGCGGGAATGGGGAAAGCCCTAATTCGCATTCAATCCCCAAAAACCCTAATTACTCAAAATTGAATTGATTATCATTACAAAATCAGCACAAAAACAATTAATTTTAATCTCTGATGATTAAGAAAAGTCACGGATATGTATATGCATGTTTTATACCGTCTCTTCGGGTTTCACTTCGATCTCGAAGTTAGTGCCCTTCAAAGTCTTGACAAAAACCTTCATCGTCTTCTTCTCGTTTCTTCGACTTACAACATTCACCTAATTCGCACAGTTCCGATTATCCGGCGAGTCTCCGATTTCCGGTTGCCGGCCGTCACGTTTTTCAGATAGAGAGAGAAAAGAAAAGAGAGAGCACGAAGTCACTGTGATAACGAAAAGCAGGAGTCTTTGCTCTCCATTATATAGTAGCTACAGGATGCGCGGAAGGAACGATCCGGTAACTGGTGAATTTTCATTTCGTAATTTTTCATCCAATCGTTGTCTGCCACGCGTACATTTTGTGTTCCATATCGGTGGGGATTGGGTAGTGGTAAAGTTTGGAGAGGATAGGGTTTTTGCTCCGTGTATTTTGTGTAGAACACAATTTTAAAGAGTTGGATTGTTCCTAATTTATGCAAGCCGTACCAATTGAATCATAAACATTTATTTGAAATATTTTTACTCACCACTCTAACCTAAGATGTACTATCATTATTTTTCTTAACACTTGATATTGACACGTGTCCATAATTATAATCATAGTTAATTTATTATTTATGAAACCATAGTTATGCTCATTGACACGTTTCAAATGTTGAGAATAGTGATAATAGTACATAGAGTGATGTCTAAATGTTAAACAAATGGCAAATATGATGCATTCTTATGACATTGTTTAAACTCTCTTTTTTGGTTCAAAGGTTCCATTAATACATGAAAAATACACAATGGAGTAGGCTCAAAACAAACAAATTGAAGAGATCTAGGCATTGGTACTTTTCTACAAATTCGAAGAGAGTATATGACTCATCTCTAGCATTCACATTTAGTAACCCCAACAAGAGCAACAAAATAAATAAGCCCAAAAACCCACCCAGAAGCCGATCAAGCTCAGCCCACACCTAAAGTATGGGTTTTGTAGAACCCTGACACAAACAGACCGAAGCTGCCGTCGCCGCCACCAATGCCGTCGCAATGTAAGGATAAGAACAGCATCACCGTGACCAAACACAATAACACAGCCTCTTGTATGTTCATTACACTTCTATCTTTGTTTATTTTTTATTTATCCTAAAATCACTTCTTAAAACCGGCCCAAGAACAGAACTGACACAAACCAAGTGGTTAGAGGCGCAAAGAGGCCCAACCCATCAACATAAAACCTAGGCAGAAAACTAGAAGCTGCGTCTCAAAATACCAAACATTTCGATTTACTTGACTTCTTCTACTACGTTGGCACATGCTTTCTGCCTCTAAACTCAATTCAGTTCAGGTACGCATTTTCGTAATCATCAGAGATTAAGAAATTAACTGTTTTTGTGCTGATTTTGTGATGATATTCGCTTCAATTTTGAGAAATTGGTTTGCGTAATCGTAGAATTTAGTGAAGTGTTTTGTGAATTTATGATGCATTATACACTGAGCAACAAGATGAAGGAAGACGAAGTGAATCGATGCCAGATACAGGAATGGTACCCAAAATTCAAATCTTTGTCTATCAAAACTCGGATTCATGAACTTCCAGAACCCTTTGTCCAGTACCTTCTAGATGATTCGGGGCCTTTCCTCCTCCCTGTTTCAATCTCAAATGAAGATGCTTTTCCCAATAGAATTCATAATCCAGAGGAGGAAGATGACTATCAAGTATCAGAAGGGTCTGATGACGAGGCAGAGCAGCCTCCATTGCCACCTTCTTTCCCTGAGCTTGAGTTGCAGGTCAAGGAATCAATTGAATCACTTGGAGGTTCTGTGTTCCCTAAGCTCAACTGGAGTGCACCAAAAGACTCTGCTTGGATCAGCACAACTGGGACACTCAAATGCTCTTCATTCAGTGAGATTGCCCTCTTGCTACGCTCTTCTGACTCATTGGTCCATGATTTATGTCATGCCTACGATTCGTGCCACGATAAAACGTCATCGAGACCTAAGAGTTTCGTGCTTGCACTTCGTAAATGGTACCAGTCCCTTAAGCCAGAGATGGAATTCCGTTGCTTTGTACGAAATCAGAATTTGGTTGGAATTTCCCAACGTGAGGTCACTACTTTTTACCCGGCTCTGCTTGAAAAGAAAGACAGTCTTCGAGTGTTGATCGAAGATTTTTTCGTGGAGAATTTGATGTCGAGATTTGAGTCAGAAAACTACACCTTTGATGTCTATGTGACAGAGGATGATCGGGTTAAGGTTGTGGATTTTAACCCATGGGGTGCATTTACGTTGCCTCTCATGTTTACATGGGAGGAATTGGATCAGAATTGCAGTGAACTAGGGGATGATGGTGTGGACTTCAGAATTGTGGAGGGTCAGTGTGTTGTTAGGCCAGGTCTGAAGACCGCAGTGCCATATGATTATTTGGACACCAGTTCCGGGAGCGGCTGGGACCAGTTTATGCGAAATGCCGATGAAGAGTTGCAGCAGCAAACTAGGAATGCTCAAGCAGGTGCGTAAGGTCATCATTGTTTTAAAAACTTTGAGGTGAAATTTGAAAGCACTGTTTCGCGTATCACTTTTGCGTGCCAGGTTCAATACTATGGAGCCTGGATATTCCATGTTAGGCCATGTCAAGGAAGAAACAAAGTTTTGCATTTCAATATCTGATTATGATTTGTTAAAATGAAAAACCAACTGCTAGTATTGAATTTCACTTTGGATTCTGTCAATTTCCTTCGATTGTATTTTGATGGTTCCTTACTTCCTCTGCCTCACTTTGTTGCTGTTTGAATTGGAACACTGAGCAGTTAGAAAAGAACATGCCATAAAATGACCGGCTGAAATTAAGGGCCCGTTTAGTAATCCTACTTGTATCCAGTTTTATGAACTCGAAATAGATTTTAAGTCCAAAGCTTAAAAATCCCGTTTGATTGGACAATTTTTAAGAACTCACGCCCAAAATAAACTCAAAAACACCCCATTATTGAAACAAAAAAAGTAAGGTTTTAGAGTTTTTTTTTCTCTCTCTCATCTTTCGTTGCTCTCTCTCTCCCTCTCTCATCTGTCTGTCTCTCCTCCCTCTCTCGTCGGTTGGTGGTTCTAGGTTGACGTCGTTTGCAGCTCCGTCAAGTTCTCCTTCGTCCATTACGTCCCTAGCTCGACCCGACACTACCCAAAATTGATCAATCTTTTTTCATATTTTGGGTTTCTAGGGTTTCCCTTGAAACCACACAAAATTTCCCTTTTCTTTGGTTAATTTCAATTTGGGAATCTAGGGTTTCTGATTTTAATTTCAATTTTTATTAAGTCTTAAAAATAGTTTGAAGTTCAATACGAAACAAGTTTTTAGATTTGAAAATCACTACTCGATAACAAACATACCTTCTCAAGGAATTGGGTTCCATATTTTTGGTGGTTTTATTCAGACTCCATTAAGAAAGATGTGCTTTGTAATTAACAAGTTTTGGGCTTTGTAATTAACAAAAGTTGGGATTTTGTGGGCTGACTGTAGACAATTATATCCAGTTCATGTTGGGTTTAAATGAAAGGGGCTCAATCCTTTGGTGAGGGTTAGGCTTGTTTAACTTTGTTTCTTCAATTTTGAGATGGCCATAAGCCTTGATTCACATGGGTTGGAAACTAGGGGTTGAGAATGAAGAATCTTGAGTTTATTTTTAGCCGGAAACATTATTGATTTTGCTTTTGTAATTTAGAGAGAGACACACCGCATGGCCTTCAAATTTTCCGCAATTTGAAGTACAGAAAATAAAAACAATCAACAACTTGTGTAACAGAAACCAAATACGAAGCAAAAAAAGCAAGAGGTCCCATCTTGAAAATCTGCCCAAAGCTTTCTTCGATCGCATCCAATCGCAACCGTACAAAGCATCTATACTATCAACATGACGTACGGCCAGAATTCAAATGTCTTGGTAAGCTATAGCTTTTGAAGGGCAGGCAAGGCAGGCAGCCCCAAAAGAATATGTTCCTTTTTCTTGCATTGCTACAGTAATGTGCATATGTTCGTACTTCTCTTTTTGACTCATCACAGTCAACAATTCCTCTCTAATCTAATCTCCATCTTCCCCTTTTTAAAATCAAAATGCGGAAGTAATGGTATTTTAATCATTAGCAGATTATGATTCTCTGAGTCCTTTGCTTTCCGCTAACTATGAAATTTTTAATTCTTGATTTAACAGTAATTTAAACACAGGGATTGGTATTACGCACCGACGCACCAACCATTAGCGTCCGATAAGGGCACTGCATATGGATGGAACATATCCAAAGATTCTTCAAACTGGTAATCTAACTACCCCTTTTTATCGTAATTAGCAAGTCTTGATCAACTTGTTAATGCAGATATATCTAAGTTTGTTTGCTTTGATCAATTGTTAATGAAGTAATCTTAACTTGTTTGCTTTCGGCTGGGTTCCTTCACCCCCACTTGGTTATGGCTATGGCCGAGGAGGAGACCCTACAGAATATAAGATTCGGTGTGCACGCTTAGAATACTAAATTTCAATCCATCAAACCTGATCGAATACTTACAGTACGGCTGCTAATTCAACTACCTTCTGTTCATACCATCATCAATGATCTGCATGTGGTACGCATGCCGGTTGTTTATTCATGTTAAACTGTGAATCTGAATTATTATCGTATGGACGCCATGTATTTTTTACTATTCCTCCCTGATTTTCTCCTTGTTTATAATGACATATGCACGGTAATAACATCCGCATAGAAAAAGAATATATATATATATATATATATAGTTAGTTAGTTAGTTAGTATAATGCAATATTTAGATAACACCTTTGGAATATTATTTTCCAGGTGCAACCTGCAGGGCACCATCTCAGAAGAAAGCCGCTGTGTGAAATGCATGTGCAAGTCAATAAGGAATTAGAGAGCGTCCCACGAGGCCACAGTAATTGATAATGTTATTAATTGATGCATGTTATGGGCAATGCAATGTGTGATGAAATTCATGTATCTACATGTATATTTATATATAGAAAAGTTTTACGCAAATACATGTAAAAGTTGTCACACTCACAAGTTGCAGGAGAAACACATGCATGCATTAATCTTAATCCATGCACCATAAATTCAATTATCCGTACGTTTTAAGCATAATACAAAGAAGAATTAGCCTCGATCACTTAAATTCTGATCCCACTTGTTGACTTGCAGTTGATACCAAATTCCACAGCACATAAAAAGTCAAAACAGCATCTCCTTTCGAATGATTCTATTTTATTT